CCGGTATTGATGAGTGCGCCATCGAGTGTGAAACCAGGTCGTGGAGGCAGCCGACAAGTAGGTTTTAGAGTTGAACGTTGATTACTACTATCAAAACTATCAATTCAGGTTCAAGCAGACTCTACGTTGCATCCTGAAGAGCGTAAACGGATTCTTCATCTTCACGCTGAACAAAATCGCCGCAGTGCTTTGAAGGATGGTTTTGATATGCTGATGGATATGGTACGATCTTCACCGGTTGCTTCTCGATGGCTTTCTAACAATGCTTAGAAAGAAGTGACTAAAATTCTAGAACTTAGCTTGAACTTCACGTGCTTTTGCCCAAGATTGCTGTGCTTATTTGAGCATAGCAAATCAGATAATCTCACGGCAACTTCAGATTCCTGACTTGCATTCCGGTGGTGTTAAACCAACGAACGCCGTTGTTCTTGCCAAAGGTGCCGAGCATATCCGCCATTTGACTGCTTTGAGAGACGACCAAGCCGCTCAAAGAGCCGCCCTCAATGAAAAAATTGCCAGACTCAATCAAAAGATAAGGTCAGAATAATGTGTCATTTTTTTTTCTCTCAAATGTAATTTCCTGCTTTTCATATCCGAGAGCTTTGGTTTACGGGATAGTCGGTTTTTAGCATTGTTTTTGTCTTCTATCCGAATGTTTGTTTACAATTATGCAGTACAGCTGACAATTTATTCTCAGAAAGTAAAGTATCTCGTAATCACTCGAATTGTTGCAGTGTATTGCAATCGAATCTGCCGTCGTCTAGCGGTACGACCAGTTCAAAATTAGAACCCCGAGCTGCGCTTGAGGCTTTCTATGACCGATACACAAAGGAATCGAGTCGGAAAGATTATCGCTTCTGGGTTGTGAGTACTTAAGCTCCGCGCAGAATGTTATTCAATGCCGAAACGAGAATGATACATATATTATTTTAGATGGCGCGTTTGTTACGCCCCATTGCGGTTGGAGAGAATTCTTCATTTGCAGCTATGATTGCACCAGAGGGTTCGTCAAGAGAGGAGGTCAGTTAAATGAAAAAATGTACGCAAACCGGCAAGCATTTATTTTCTTAAGGTTGCTGCTTCATGTTCTGAGTGGTTAAACAGTCACTGGCGCGCGGCGGAGTTGAGGCCACTTGCGAGTACACTGCTAGTAAGTGTTCCATCTGCAGTCATATGACATGTATGAGATTTACCCTTTTTGATTAATAAAAAAAAAGTTTATTATAACAGGTTTTTATGAAAAGCGTTGGGGTTATCCCGATTCTCAGAAACATCAACTAGGTTCGCATAGTAATAGAAACTATAAGATATCTTTACTTCATTTCTTTTGAGAATGGAGTAGGGTAAATTTTGGAAATCGCTCTCCTAAAGAATTCTAGCACAGTACTTTCAAACTTCGGTTACTAAATAGGGAAGTAGAAAGTCAATTTGCATAAATAGAGTCTGTTGTTTTCATTGTTCTTCTCATCCAAGTTCGACTTCCTAATTATCTTTTTCAAGACGATCAACGGTATCTCTTCGCTTCAAATGAGTCAGTTTTTGTTAGATGTCAATATAAAGGATGATGGTTTTTTTTAAAGTTTTGAGAATCCTTTTGACTTCAAACGTTTTATTCCTGAAAAATCTTTATTGCTTTCTCATCAGCTAGTTTGTACTCTGTCCAATAATTTGTCACCATCTGTCTTGATGAACTCATCTACAAGCGCTGATCAAAGAAATTTTCAGGTCCATCTTGCGACCACTGCTGGCGTATTAACCAATCCCGAAAGTCTGGAGGAACATGTACGTGAACAGCTCAACAATCCAATTGCTTAGCATCTCGAGTGCATTTAATGTATGTTCTCCTATTTATCTGAATCTATTGATCTATATCTCTACCTTTGGTAATTTTTTAACCGAGACTTTATTCAATAATTTTATGAAATTTGGCTTCATCATGCCCGGGTGCTAACTCTGCGTAGGTAGTTAATACTGT